AGTCATCTTGAGCAATACAATATGACAGTGCCTCATGCCTCCAGAGCTCCTGGGGGATGACGTGTTGTATGTGGCGGCGTTCTCCCTCTCACCTCACACTTTGTGTTGCACCTTGACAAATGTGTTGATCACTTATTACTGTGAAAAGATGCATGATGTAGTGGAAAGAAATCTGGCCTGGGATTCCAAAGACTTGAGATTATTCAACAAGATAATGTTTGTAAAGCACTAGGTAATCATGAGTTCTTATGATCAGCAATTAATTATAGGATCAGGGGTCTAGAGTTAGTTGTTGTTCAGTTGTATCTGATGCTTCATCAACCCATTTGAGGTTTTCTTAGCAAAGATACTGCAATGGTTTGCCATTTCTTTCTCTGGCTCATTTTGCAAGTGAGGAAACTGAGGCAGAGAGGGTGAAGTGACTTGCCCAGGGTCACACAGCTAATAAGTGTCTGAGGCCAGAGTTGAACTCAGGAAGAGGAGTCTTCCTGACTCCAAGCCCGGTGCTCTATGCACTGCACCACCTATCTGCCCCCACGGCTAAAAGGGACATCTAAGTCCATGTAGACAGGGATATGCTAGAGACAGCTCCAACCAGTGTGAGCATTTACACCTAGAAATTGGCAAATACTACAAATCCAGCCTTGGTTTATTGTTTTGTTGATTGCCTCTACTGAAGAAGGTGATAGAGAAAATGCTGATGCAGATTAAACTTAAAAGTGTGTCATGCATACATTTTTGGAAGGGGATCCTTTCGTTAAACATTTACCAGCACACCCTAGTCTAACCCTTCATTTTACAGATTAGGAAACTGAGGCCCACAGAGGTTAAGTAACCTACCCAAGATCACACAGTGAGGGAGGCAGTTTGGTGCTGTGGAAAGGACGCTGTATGATGTGCAACTAAACAATGTAGGTTTGAACCTTGGCTGTAGCTCCTTACCTGAGAGACTTTTGGTAAATCATTCACCTTCTGTGGGCTTCAGCATTTTGAGCATGAGAGATTGGAAGGATGCTGGTGCCACAGACAGAAACAGTGATGCTAGCTGGAGCAACAGGCTTGGGGAGAAAGAGCATGCACTTGAATTTGGACATTTTGAGTTTGAAGTGCCAGTGGAACCAGCGAGAGGATATTTTTCATGGGCAATTGGAGGTATAGGTCTGGACCTCAGACGAGAGGTAAGGGCTGGTTGAATGAATGAATGGAGTGAGTGAATGGATGAATGAATGAATGAAAAAGCATCTTTTAAAATGAGCCTTGATTTCTTTAGTGACTTCTTTCATGGAAGGTCAGTTATGGTCTTAGCTTCCTGGGCTCCTGAGAGACTAAAGGACCCACCTGGGCTTATGTAGCTAGTAGATGTCAGAGTTGGAGCCTGAATTCAGAATTTCCTGAGTCCAAGAGAGGATCTATCCAATTAGGTCATACTGCCTCTCTAATCAGAAGATATGAATTTAATCTAGCCTTTCCTCAGTGAGTAAGGTCATTATTAGGAAGATTAATTACTGCATTGGCATGCCCTTAGTTTTGGTTAAGTTGCCAATGTCTGTTGTCCACTCACCTTATTTAAATGACCCCAGCTTCCCAGGTTTTGTGCATAACTGTGGCTGCTTTGAGTAGATTTTTTGTCCCCTTCCTTCCTGGAAGGCCGTCAGCTGTCACTCCTTACCGCTGTTGGTATTCCTGTCTGCAGCAACCCCTCCTCCAATACAAATGCTAAAATACAGCTCTGTATTTTGCTTCCCACTCAAGGTGCATGAACTTTAATGCACGTGCTCTGAGTCTTTCCATCCCTGTGCTCCTTGGATTCCAGCTGTGTTCCAGATGGCTGAGCTGGCTAGGTAACAAGAATGATAATGCACATTTACAAACCGCAGAGCTGGAAGGGACCTCTGAGGTCAATGTATGGAACTTCACAGCTGATAAAGCACTTTTCTGCATTTGATCTCGCAGTGTTCATCCAACATTTGACAAACATTTATCAGGCTCTTACGGCATGCAGACAATTCAGGGAGGCATCGAGGGAGGCACGGTCCCTGCCCTCAAAGAGCTTCCATTCTGCTGGGGGCAGTAGGGTGGTAGTGTGCCACATGGTATCAGATATTTACATACAGGATTCAGACAAAAAACATATAGTGAGGGAATCTTAAGCCTTACCCTGGAGGAATCAGAGAAGATCTCATGAAGCTGGTGTCGCTTACTAATTACCACGTCATAGTCCTACATAGTCATGAAATCCTACAACTTTAGATGCCATTTAACACAACCCTTCCTTTTGCAGACTGAGACCTAGAAGGTGGGGAGGGACCCACCTAAAGTAAGTGGCAAAGCTAGAACCTGAGCCTCCTGAGCCCCCAGCCCAGGGCTCTCTCTATTATACCAACATGTTGCTCAAGTCAGTGTCAGTAATGTCAGAACCATAGTAGGACTCCATAGAAGGGAGCCAGTCACGGGTATGTTAGAGTCAGCTCTAACAGGCTCTGGAGCTGGTTGTTAAATTTTTCTTGTGTGCATTTAAAAACACTAGAAATCAGGACATGATTTATTGTTTTGTTGATTGTTTAGACTTAAGAAAGCAATGAAGAACATGTTAATAATACAGATTAAATTTGTGGGTCTAGTGTACTTTTTTTTTGAGAACTGGTTAACCATTAACCAGCATACCATTGGACCAAGTTACTGTTTTCCACTTGGCAGCTCGGTGGGATATAGCCCAGGTATGTGTTAGAGTACAGAGATCATGTTGGCAGAATGCATGGAGTGCTGAACTTGTAGTTATCAAGAAGATATGAGATATGGGAAAAATTGGGACACTAATACATTGTTGGTGAAATTATGAACTGATCCAACCATTTTGGAACAATCTGGAATCATGCACAAAGAGTTATAAAACTGTGTATGTCCTTTGACCAGGAGATACCTCTATTAGATCTGTATCCTAAGGTTATCCCAGGTGAAAAGGAAAATAACCCATAGTTTCTAAAATATTTATAGCAGCTCTCTTTGTGGTAGAATTTGAGGGGATGCTTATCAATAGGGGAATGGCTGAACAAGTTGTTGTATGTGATTATGATGGACTGCTACTGTGCTGTAAGAAATGATGAGCAGGTCGATTTTAGAAAAAAAAACAGGGAAAATTTGCATGAAATAATGAAGATTGAAATCAGCAAAACCAAGAGAATGTTGTATATAGTAACAGCAATATTTTTTGAAGAGTAACTGTGAATGACTGAGCTATTCTGAGTGTTGTAAATACTCAAATCAACTACAAATCAACTATGAAGTTGCTATCCATCTTCAGTGAAAGAACTGATAAATAGAACTATGCATAGTATGGTTTTACATACATTTATAAATCTGTGTTAAATGGTGGCCTTCTCTAGTGCAGGGTGGGGAGGAAGGAAGAGAGACAGTATGGAACTTAAAATGTAATGAAAAAAATAAATTAAATTTTAAAAATTTAAGTTCAAAATTAATAAAAAGCAAACAAAAAAAGATATGGGTTCAAATTTCACCTCAGCAGCTTTCTTACTTACCTCTCTGATCCTCAGTTTCCTCATCTTTAAATCATGGGATGGGGGGGGGGAAATGCCTGTAGTTCCTGCGTCAAGGGATTGTTGTGAACAACCAATGAGATAATGTATGCGAAGCACTATATAAATGTCAGCTTTTATTATCCTCATCAGGAAATGTCTCGCAGGCAGGCTAGCTCCCCCCCACCAGGAGATGTCTTCTCTGTTAAGCATGAGATGATAATAACTCGAGTTTCCTATTGAGAGAAGAGAGTCTAGGTCTAGGCAGGAGAGATGGACGTGAAATCTTGCCCAGTTCTAGAGTTCTGGGAATCTATGGCATTCTGTTCAGTTCCATTTTAGTAGAATATAAGCTCTTTGGGGTCAAGGACAGGGTTGCTTTGTGTTTCCATGTCTACTTTGAGCACCTGCGGGCAACTGGCTATTGGGGAAGTGTTTGCTGAGAAGTGAGAGGTAGGGGCAACCAGGTGGTGCAGTGGATAAAGCTTCAGCCTGGGAGTCAGAAGGACCTGAGTTCAAATCTGGCCTCAGACACTTGATACTAGCTGTGTGACCTTGGGCAAGTCACTTAACCCTGATTGCCTAATCAAAAAAAAAAAAAAGAAAGAAAAGAGAAGTGAGAGATAGAAAGAGGTCCAAGTTGTTCATCAACTCCTTTGAATATTCCCACTCATTCCCACCCATCTCCATTAGGGCCAGGCTCTTCCTGTCCTCTTCACCCCCACTTCTGTTCCACAGTCTCTTACTTCCAATCATGATCTTCCAAATCCCTACTCCTACCTTTGGACCCTTCGCCTCTACCTCAGTAGGGGCCAGTCCGGAACCCTGGAATCCTATCCACTACTCATGCTAGCCTGTAACATATTTAAATTTGACATGAAACCAATCAACCAAAAAAAAAAAAAACCCAATAAAGCCCAAACACTTACTGGATAATGCAATAGAAATAATATTTACCAAAGAAACAAACAGATTTCACATTCAGATAAAAAAATTACACAGTTCTTTTCAGTTGAATAAATCTTAAAATCAGAGAATATAAAAATGGGAAGGGACCTTAAAGTTCTTTTTTTCTTTTGTTTTTGCTAGGCAATCAGGGTTAAGTGACTTGACCAAGGTCACACAGCTAGTAAGTGTCAAGTGTCTGAGGTTGAATTTGAAGTCAGGTCTTTGCTGCACCATCTAGCTGCCCCCTTAAAATTCTTAAAAGCCAATCCTGTTTTACAGATGAGGAAACTGAGGCCCAGAGAGCTATTTGATTCCTGTGTAACCTCAAGCAAAGTTAACACTTTGGAAAAAAAAATTGAATGTGTCCTTTGTCAGTGACACTGGTGAATCTTGGGCTCTGTTGTAGTTTCTGGAAGGTCTGCTTTCTCCAGGGCCCTGGCAATTTTTCCTCCAGAGAATGGGCCAGATCCTTACTCCTCTCTCTCTAACTCTCTGATAGCTTCCTTTTTTTCCCTACAGGATGTTGCCACAATGCAGTTCTGTGCCAATAAACTGGACAAGAAAGATTTCTTCGGTAAATCTGACCCCTTCCTGGTGTTCTACAGAAGCAACGAGGACGGAACGTGAGTTTCTTCTCAGCTTCCTTCCCCATTTATGCCCATCTCCTTCGCCCCTGGGATGGGCCCAGTAGCGTCCGACCCTTCATGGCCCTATTTGGGGTTTTCTTGGCAAAGATCCAGGAGTGTTTTGCCATTTCCTTCTCCAGCTCATTTTGTAGATGAGGGAACTGAGGCGGACAGGGTTAAGTGACTTGCCCAGGGTCACACAGTGAGTAGATATCTGAGGCCAGATTTGAACTGAGAAAGATGAGTATTACTGACTCCAGGCCCTGTACTCTCTCCACTGCACTACAAGATGGATGAAACCTTAGGAGAGAAACTAAGGGCTGTGTAGAAGGAATAGGGAGACAGTGCCAAAGCCAAGAGCGGGGAAAGGAAGGAAAGAATCAATCAATGAACATTTATTAAGTGCATATTATGTGCCAGGCATTATGCCAAGTGCTGAGGGTACAAAAAATAGGAAAAGACAGTCCCTGCCCTCAAGGAGCTTACATTCTAATCATAAGATCATAGAATTGGATTTGGAAAGACCCTCTGAAGTCTTTCAATCAAGTTCAACCCTTTCATTATATACATAAAAATCTGAGAAGCCCAGAGATGTTAAGTGACGTACTTGGTCACACAAGTAGTAAGTGGTAAAACTTGGATTCAAACCCAGGTCCTTGGATTCCAAATCCAATGTTATTTTCATTGTAATATTCAGTAGCCCCCCACCTTCCACCCCTCGCTACACCTAACTGCTGCTCCTTGAGTTTGACTAGAACAGGCAGCTAGGTGGTACAGTGCTGGGCTTGGAGTCAGGAAGGCCTGAGTTCAAATCCTGTCTCAGATACTTACTACCTATGAGAACTTGGGTAAGTCACTTAACTTCTCTCAGCCTCAGTTTCCCCATCTGTAAAATGGGATAATAACTGCAGAGGGTTGTTGGTGAGGATCAAATGAATTAGTCTTGCAAACTTTAAAGTGCCATATAAATTCTAGCTTTTATCATTATTATTAAAAAGGGGCCCATGTCTAATGTCCTTCTCAGCTGAAAATTCTATGCTTCTGTGTAGGGGGAGCCCAGGTGTGTTTCACTTTAAAAGATAAAAAAGCCAATTTTAAAATCTGAACTTCCAAAAACAGTGAAACTAGTGGGTGACTATTTGCATTACAAAAGGATTCTTTGGTTCACCAAAGGAATTCACTGTAGGATTCCTTTAAATAATTCTTGTTGACTTGAATTTGCAGAGAAAAAAATACCAAAGTGGTTTTAAGATATTGTTCAATGTGCAAAAATTCTGTTTGTACCCATAATGAAAATGATGTAAAAGTCAGGTAGACTCGTGTTTAGGCATAGGTCTGGGGGGCCCCAGGGAGGTGGCATGTCAATGCCCAGAAGGCAAGGCCCGCCTGGCCCACTGGTACATACTGCCTAGCCAAGTGTGGAGAACCACTGTGGGATCTCAGGCATAGGAGTGACAGGATGAAAACAGCATTTGAGGAAGATTATTCTGACAGCGTGTGTAGGATGGATTGGAGGGGGGAGGGACTCGTGACAGGGAGAGAGCAGGTAGGAGGCTGTTGCAGCAATCCAGGCGTGATGTGATGAAGGCCTAGATAAGGGTGGTGGAGAGTGGTGGAAAGGGGGAGAAAGAGAGAGAGAAAGAGAAAGAGAGAGAGAAAGAGAAAGAGAGAGAGAGAGAGACAGAGAAGAGAGAGAGGAAAAGAGAGAGAGGGGAGGGGGGAGGGGGGGAGAGGCAGAGAGAGAGGAGAGTGAGAGGGGAGAAAGATAGAGGAGAAAGAGAAGAGAGAAAGAGGGGGGAGAAAGAGAGAGAGATAGAGAGAGAGAGCGCCACTCAGGAAGGACTTGGTGATGGAATGAATGGAGAGGCTAAAGGAGGGAGAGGCTTTCCAAGTGCTTGAGACTGAGGGGCCTCATATGTAGTGTTGTTGATAGTGATGGAAAATTCATGCGCAAAGAGAGGAAGTTTACTTTAAAATTTTTTTATTGATGCCTTTTGTTTTTTATATCACTTTCATGTTGGGATATGTCCCATCTTCTCCCCAACCTACTCACTGAATTATTCTTTGTGACAAAATAAATAAATAAAATAAAAAAGAAAGGGGGGGGGGAAGCAGTTCAGCAAAACTAACTAAGCCATTTCCTGAGTCTGACAGTACATACAATGTTCCACACCCATGGTGCCCCACTTCTGCAAAGAATGGAGGGAGAAACGCTTTTTCATTATTCTCCTGGGCCAAACTTGGAATTTAGAATTTACAGCATTCTGTTTCTTTTGCTGTTCTTTCCATTTACGTTGTTGTAGTCATCGTGCATGCTGTTTTCCTTCTTCTACTCCTTTCAATTTTGCATCAGTTCATATGTCTTCCCAGGCTTTTCTGAATTCCTCATCGACTGTCCATCAATTCCAATAACATTCCAGACTATTCATGTTTGTTTAATCATTCCTGAACAGTTTATTTTTTAATACCCAAAGTTCAAAGCAGTCAAAGTGTAGGAAATCCAAGCAAAGGTAATTATTCAGGCTGCTGGAAATCACAAAATCATGGCACCCCAGAGCTGGAGGGGACCTTTAAAAGGTTTAGGGCTAAGGAGAAGGTAGAGTGCTAAAGATGTAGGTTGGTAGCCATCCCTCTACAGGTGGTAGGTGGAACTGCAAAAGCCTATGAGCTGGTGGTAGAGGGAGAGAGGGGTAGAAGGAGGACAGAAAGCCTCGGGCTTGTGATAACCCTTTGTTATCAGGTGGGGAGAAGAGCGGAGAATAAAGCAGCAAGGGAAACAAGCAGGTAGAGAGGTGGAATGGAAAGACAGAACAAACCCTTGGACCAGGGACAGTTTCAAGAAGGACCAAATGACTTTAGAGCATCAAAGGCTACAGAGAGACTGTGATGGATGAGAACTGAGGAGAAGCATAGAGCTTCCATCAGGCAGAGAGGCAAGGCTGGTGAACAGAGAGTCAGGAGGACTTGGGTTTGAATTCTGCCTCTAAAACATAGTGGCTGTGTGGCCCTGGACACGTCAACCTCTCCTTGTGCTTGAGAAGTTTCTAAAAGTATGAGTTGCAGAACTGGTGAGATCTGTAGTGGGGGAGGGATTTTTCTCTATATCCATGAAATCACAAATACAGCCTGAAGAAAAGATTGATTGTGAGTTGAAAAGAACCTCAGAGACCATTAGTCTAGTCCAGTGGTTCCCAATGTTTTTTATTCTCACAATCCCTTTCAAGAGCCATAAAATATGTTGTGAACTCCCAGGGTAATTTAATATGCTTCTCATAATTTTTTTTTTTTGGCTAGGTAGTGGGATAAGTGACTTGCCCAGGGTCACACAGCTAGTACGTGTTATGTGTCTGAGGCCAGATTTGGACTCAGGTCCTCCTGAATCCAGGGCCGGTGCTCTATCCACTGCGCCACCTAGCTGCCCCTTCTCATAATAATCTTTACATTTATTTACTGCTTACGGAGCCATTACATTTTTTTTTTTTAAGCATAAAACAGGTATTAGAGAACCACAAAATGGGAGCTACTCATCTAGTCTGCCCCAGATACAAAAGGAATCTTCACTAGAACATATCTGACAAGGGTTTGTGGGTTGTCTAGCCTTTCTTAAAGACCTCCAATGGGACAGCGAGTATAGAATCGAGAGTTGGAAGGATACTGAGAGGCCATTTAGGTGCAGTGGATAGAGCACTGGGCCTGGAATGAGGAAGACTCCTCTTTTTGAGTTCAAATCTAGCCTCAGACACTTGCTAGCTGTGTGACCTTGGGCAAGTCACTCAACCCTGTTTCCCTCAGTTTCCTCTTCTGTAAAATGAGCTGGAGGAGGAAATGGCAAACCACTCCAGTGTCTTTGTCAAGAAACCCTCAAACAGGGTCATGAAGAATCCAGCATGACTGAGAACAACACTTTTAAAAGGAGCACTCTATTTGGAGTCAAAAGACCCAGATTCAAATCCTATTCAGCTTAGCTACCTATATGACCACAGACAAACCGATTTTTCCCTCAGGGCCTCAGTTTCCATCTGTAAAAAGTGTGTGTGTGTGTGTGTGTGTGTGTGTGTGTGTGTGTGTGTGTGGTGGATTAGAGGGTCTCCAAGTTCCCTTTCAGTCCCAAATCCTATGATTTTCCTTACCCCGGACCTGCTCTAATAGAACTGGGAATTTCTATTTTTCAGTCTTGCCGCTGACCCTGGGGGTCAGCCCTCCCTCCACCCTTCCTTTTCAGCTGCACACTTGAGTGGGTGGGTGATAGATACAGAGAAAAGTAATGGTGAGATGTGATGACAGTCATGACATTTTGACTGGGAAATTTCCTAAGAATAAGTGGCAGTCTGTGTGGGCCCGGGCAGATCACATGGAAATGCACGTGTGACCTTTCCAACTGCGACATGCACAGGGATGTGGTCTCCCTTGGCTCAGGGAGGAAACAGTCCGCTCGCTCCCTCCCTCCCCGATCCTGACTTTTTAGCCCCGCACCTTGTTCCTTTTTCCCGGTCCACCCACATGGAGGAACGGTTCCCACTTTATGGATGGGCTGGAGAGAGGCATGGATGGAGCAGGGCCCTTGGGGATGGCCCTGAGTGGGGTGGAGGGCTGATAGGAGGGGCCGGACTGGGAGTGCTTGGGGGAGGCATGCTCTGTGTATCTTGACGTTCCGGACCTCTCCCCCTTCATCTCGTTAGGTTCACCATCTGTCACAAGACAGAAGTCATGAAGAACACTCTAAATCCCGTGTGGCAAACTTTCTCCATCCCTGTGAGGGCCCTCTGCAACGGGGACTACGACCGGTGAGCTTAGCAATGCTCCCCTTCTCCCTCCATCCCCCTACCCAACCAGGTGATGTGACTTGGATTGGTGAGCCGCGGATCTCTCTCCCAAGCCCAGGGTCTTCCAACTTCTTTCTGACCCTTCCCTTTCCCTCTGTTTCCACTACTCAACCATCTCCGTTCCGTCCTCCCCCTCTCCATTGCGGACCGCCCTCCCATATTGATACAGTTGGGGTAAACTGCCTCTCCAAGGGAGGGGTCATCCGGAAAAGCCAGGGGCCCACACTGAGGCCTGCTGGACAACTTGGGCTAACTTAGCTCCAAATGGGGAATTTCCATCCCCTCCTAAACCACAAGGACCCTCTGGAATATAAGCTCCTTCAGGGCAGGGCCTAGGTTTTTGCCTTTCTTTATACCTTCAGTACTTTGCACAGAGTAAGCGCTTAATAAGCGCTCCTTGGCTGCTTGACCAAGGCCTTGGTGTCTCAGAGCCAACAAAATCAGAGATGAGAGCCTTCTCCAAGTTACCTGTCCTGACAGGCATTGCCCTGCCACCAAGGGATGCCAGAGAGGAAGAGGAAGGAGGAACAGAGAAGGAATCAACCAATCATGAATCACCAAGTATTCATTAAGTGCCCACTGGGAGTAGATAGGGGGTATTGCGCTATAGTTTCCTTAGTATATCAGACTCCTTTGGGAGGAATCACTACCAGTGCAGGTTGTTAGCGCCTTCTAATCTTAGAGAGTTACCTAAAGCACTGAGTGTTCAGGTGACTCGACTTGTTCAGCGTCACGCAGCCAGTTTATGTCAGAGATGGGACTTGCACCCAGGTCTTCCTTCCTTTGAGGCCAGCTCTCTATCTGCCTTTGTTGTTATTGTTCATTTGTTTCAATCATCTACGACTTTTTGTGTCCCCATTTGGGGCTTTCTTGGCAAAGATACTGGAGTGGTTTGCCATTTCCTTCTCCAAGTTCATTTTACAAATGAGGAAACTGAGGCAAACAGGATTAAGTGACTTGCCCAAGGTCACACAGCAAGCTGCTAAGTGTCTGAGCCTGGATTTAAACTCAAGATGAGTCTTCCTGACTCCTGGCCTAGCACTCCGTGCACTACGGCGCCACCTATATCTGCTACACTTCCTACAAAGACAAAAATGAATCAGTCTCTGCCCTCAAGACTCTTATGCTCTATCTGGGGAAATGTTATGTACACATCTCAATATATAAGACATATGTAAGACTTACAGAATCTTAGAGTTCAATCAGAAACTATCAGAAACCAACCCATACATGAACAGGAATTCCTTTTACAAGACTCCCTGCAAATGGTCATCTGGCTTCCATTTTGGAATGGCTGAAATCTGGTCCTATTGCATTGGATCATAGAAGTCTCCTAGTCCAATCTGCTCACTTTACAGGTCGGTAAACTAAGGCCCAGAGAGGGTAAGTAATTTTCCTAAGGATAGGAAGTGACAGAACCAGGGTTTTTAATAAAGTCTTCAGACTCTAAATTCAACAATCTTTCCAGGATGTCATGCTGCTGCCTCAAGTCTGAGCTCCATGATCTGGCCTTGGTCCTATGGGCTCAACTGCACAGAACCATAGACTGGCTGTTAAGGCTGGAAAGGACCTTTGCCTAGACCTCGTTTTACACCTCCTCATCTTACAGGGGAGGACTGAGTCCCAGAGAGGGGAAGTGACCTGCAGAATATCACACAGTGAATCATGGTTGAGTTATAATTCCAACTCTTTGGTCTGGGCCTTGGGGCCCAAGGTCTGTAGCGGAGGAAAAGGAGGCTTTCGTGGTAGTGAGCAGAGGATCTCAGGACCTGTGAGTTGAAAGGGAATTCAATTCTTACCCACAAAAAACAACCTCTATCAAGTCCCAGAGACATCTAGGTGGTGCGGTGGATGGAGCCTTGAGCCTGAAGTCAGGAAGACCTGAGTCTAAATCTGTCCTCAGATGCTAGTTGTATGACCCTGGGAAAGTCACTTAACCTCTACCTGCCTCAGTTTCCTCAACTAAAAAATGGGGATAATAATAGCATCTACCTCCCAAAGGTTCAAAAGAAATATTATTGCAAAATGCTTGGTTTTTTTTTTAATTTTAAATTTTTTATTCATTCTGAACTTCAATACAAAAAGACAAAAAAAAACAACAAAACTCAACCATTTTCATGTACACAGCATAGTATCAAGAGAGGATTCAATATAAAACCATGAATTTCCATTTCAGATTGTTTACTTTCAAAAAAAATGTGTAATAAATACTACACAGTTTTCAAAGCTGCTCTGCTTTTCTGTGCTTCCTTCTAAGTTTTCCTTTGTTCTCTGCTGTGTACTTTTTATTTTTGCTTTTATTTGTGTTTGCTTAGCACCATACTGGTCTCTTCGGCTAAAGTAGGGACTTAATAAATGCTTGTTCCTCCTATTCCTTTGTAATTTAAAAGCACTTCGTGCCCATCAGCTCCATGAAGGAGGTACCAGAAGGGAAAGGCAACTTGATACAGTGAGAAGAGGACAATTCAAATTTGACCTCTGTCCCTTCCTGTGTAGACTTGAGCAAAATTGTTTAATTTCTTCGGGACTCAGTTTCCCCTTCTGTAAAATGAGAGAATTAGACTAAATAACTTCTGAAAGTCCCTATGAACATTGTATCCATTTTACAGATGGGAAAAGAGTGTCTGAAAGATTAAGGCCCTCCCCAAAGCCTAGTAAATGGTGGAGGTTCCACTTGATTTCTGGTCACCTAATTCCAAGTCCAATCTTTTTTGCATGATGCCACATGCCCACGAAGTTTGGGGTCCTGAGGTCGATGTCTACCTCACTCTTCCAGCCTTCCAGCCAGTAGAAAAGATGCTTGCCAGTTTACATTTACCCAATTTATTTTACTAAACTCAGTAGTACTTATTCTATCTAGTATTTGGGTCAGAGTTAAGGTCAGAATTTTGGTTCACTCCAAGTGGGTGCAGCCATAAGAATGCTTGACAAAGAACCCATAATGTCCAGGTTCTAGTTCTAGCATTAATGTTTTAGCTCAATTTAATTTAAATTTCTTTTATTTGCCAGGCAATGGGATAAAGTGACTTGCCCACAGTCACACAGCTATTAAGTGTCAAGTGTCTGAGGCCAGATTTGAACTCAGGTCTTCCTGAATCCAGGGCCAGCGCTCTATCTACTGCACCATCTAGTTGCCCCCATAGCTTGATTTAATTTAAAGTGCCTACCATGTGTCAGGCACTGAAGATACAGAGACAAAATAAAGCTGTCCCTGCCCTCAAGAAGTTTATAGCCTAGTCTAAAAAATCTTGGCTAAATCGTAGGATCATAGTTCTGTAGCTGGAAGGAATCTTAGAGGGGGAAACAGGGTCCTAAAGAAGTTAAACAATTTTGCTCAAGTCTATACATGCAGTGACAGAGGTCAAATTTGAATTGTCCTCCTCCCACTGTATCCCCCTTCTGCTAATTCCCTCACAGAGCTGATGAATACAAAATGCTTTTAAACTGTAAATAGGAGAAACAAGCATTTATTAAGCCCCTGCTTTAGCACAAGAGACCAGTACTGTGCTAAACAAGCATTTTGCAATGTCATCTCATTTGATTCCTTGGAAGGTAGATGCTATTATTATCTCCCTTTTTCAGTTGAGGAAACTGAGGCAGATAGAGGTTAAATGACTTGCCCAGGGTCACACAATTAATCCAACTCCCTCATTTTACAGATGAAGAAACTGAGGCCCATGGATGTAAAGTGATTTGCCTGGGGTCGTATAGCTAGTAAACAGTAGAGCTCATTCTTGTGACGAATCACAGGAGACAATGTGTGGGTGTGCTTTGGGAGTCATAAACTACTCAGTGGTGTTCTTGCTTATTATTCAACCATCTGACCAGAACCCATTCTCAGACCCAGAAATTCTGGAATCTTAGAAATTGTAGAAGCTTAGTGATGGAAGGGGCGCTATGGGTCAACTCCCCCACCTGAAACATAAGTAGCCTCCAAAAAGGTAGAGCCACAGCATTCAAAGGGCAGTCCTTTACTTATAAAATCAGGGGGCAGATCTAGTTGGCCTCTAATTTCCTTCCATGTATAGATTTATGATCCTATGGAATTTCCTATAGACCATTGTGTGACCTTGTTTGTTTCCCCATTGGGAAGAACTGTGACAATCCTGCCCAGACAGAAGAAACTGCTCTGAGCTGCCCTCCAAGACCCAGAGCCTCGCTTTCGGGCAGATGGCCTGTTCTGTTGGGCAGCCAGTCCATTGGGGTATACCCAAGTTCCATTCTCTTTCTGGGCCTCACTTTTCTTAGCTCTAAAAGACGTGCTGGATTCTCTTTAAATCTTATGGGTGATGAATTTCCTTGGGCCTCAGTTTTCTCATCTGTGAAATGAGGGCATTGGACTAGGTGATTGTAAGGGCCCTTTTAGCTCTAATCACCTGTAACGCTGAGTGCTCTTGAGGTTGGATTTGAACTCAGGTTTTCCTGACTCCAGGTCTAGCTCTCTACTTGCTGCAACAGGGAAATTGGGAACACGGGTAAGTGGTGCCCTTGGTGGTGATGAGGAATTTCAGAGGAGGGAAGGGTGTAGGGGGAAGGGTAGTGAACATATTCAGTTTGAGATGCCTGTGGAATGTCCAGTTCAGCATTAAAGGCCCGAGCAATGGCTCAAAGGTCAATGATGGCCGCATCTTTTGGCCAGACCTTCTGCATCCTTCCCTGCTCTTTTGGGTGTGTCTTTCAGAGATTGTAGGACTCAGCATCAGAAGAGCTGGTTTTGAACCTGCTGATTAACTATATGGCCATGGACAACTGAGATCAATCCACAAGTATTTATTGAGCACATACTATGTGCCAGATATTGTTCTAAGCATTGGGGATACAGCAACAAAGCAAAAACAGTCCCTCTCAAGGGGCTTGCATTCTAGCAAGGGAGACAATTGTGTTCCCCTCTGTCACATAGGAAGAGTCACCATCATTATCATCATCGTCATAGCTAGCATTTACATAGTTACCTGCTATGT